GTCCGTCACCACCAGAGAACCCCCCCCTCCCCCCCCCCTCACCTCACCTCACCTCACCTCACTCAACATACACACCTCCTCCCCATGTCCACTTCGTCGGGCAGCTCCCCCGAGGGGATGCCTGTCGCCGAGTCTATCCTCAACCGCATTCACGAACTCTACACCAGCGACAATGGTACGCCCTGCCTCCCCCCCCTACCCCCCCTCCCCCCTCCCCCTCCTCTCCCCCTCTCCCACCCGCGCCACACTCATGCCTCTCCGCATCCAGGACTGTTGAGCATCGCACGTGAGGCCGGATCACGGCTCCTTCCGCCGTCGCGCAAGGTTACTGTCGCCCTGATGGGCAACCACTCGTCGGGCAAGTCTTCGTTCATCAACTGGTACGTGGGGCAAGAGGTGCTCAAGACCTCGGTGGCCATCGAGACGCAGGGCGTCAACTTTGTCACCGCCGGCCACAGGCGCGATGTCATGCACGGGCCGGCGACGCTCAAGCTGTTCCAGCGCTTCCGTGGCTTGGATCAGTTTGATGGCCTCCTCCCGCACGTCGAGACCCATGTGGTCCCGTCGGACGCCAACGCCTTTCCGCTCCTCACCCTCATCGACACTCCAGGCCTTGTCGACGGCAACATGGCCTATCCGTTTGACGTCTCGCGAGTCCTTGAGTGGCTGGCAGCACGCGTCGACATGGTCTTTATCTTCTTTGACCCGCTCGGCCAGGCTCTCTGCAGCCGCACCATGTCGCTGATTAAGGCGCTCGACGCCCGCCACGCCGACAAGATCCGCTACGTCGCATCCAAGATGGACACCGTCGCTACCGAGGCCGACCGCTCGCGAGTTCTCATCCAGATCACCCAGAACCTCATGTCGCACATCTCGGCAAAGACCGCCCTCCGCCTCCCGTCCATCCACATCCCGGTCGACGGTGAGACTCGCGACGCGCCACTTCACGCTAACTCTATCTGGGAGCTTACTGACGAGATCGACGACCGCATCTCGGCCACTGTCCAGAACACCATCCGCCAGCTCAAGACAGACTCGCGCACCCTCTACGACCGCCTCCTCGCCATCCGCGACCGTGACCACGCCGCCATCACCGCCAACTGGAACGCATGGATTCGGAGCGGGTTCCTTCGCTTCTTCGCCTTTCTCCTCTCCGCTCTCGCCTCGCTCTTTGTCGCACACTCGCTCCGCCTCTTCCGCCTCGCCCTAGCTGCGATTCCGCTCTCGCCGTCGCTCTATCACACCGCTCGCGATGGCATCGACCTCCTTGACTCTGTCCTCCCGTACATCCTCCCCTCCGGTACCTCGTTCCTCTACCTTGTCCTTGGCCTCTACGCTGCTGCTGCGCTCCTCGTCCTATTTACTCGCTGGGCGTACACCTCGCGCCAGCCGACGCTCCCCGTCCACAAAATCGCCACCATCACCGCTGGCATCAACTTTCTTCGCACCCGCTGCCTCCCGCTGCCGGAGCAGCTGTACAACGAGTATTTTGCCGACTCGGTCGATAGGTCCAATCTGTAGACGGAAGCTTCCGCTCACACCACGCCTGCCATCTGCGCATGCTGCCAGAGCTACCATCCAACAATGCTCAGCTGGGCCGCAAAAAAAAGTGGCACCGGATGAGCACGGCTGCGCTCGACGTCGACACACTGTGGACCGCCATCTGCCCCAGCCGCGCTGCCACCCACGTCAGCGCCAGACCATCGGTCACCTCTGCATGCACTCCCGTCGCCAGTGCAAAGAGCATGGTCCCACAAACAAGCGGAAAGTTCTCCACCGCTTTGGTATACACGCGCGACTTCCGTCCCGCCATGTCAGATCCATCGATGTTAGCCCCTTACAGTACAGAATGGACCACAACTCGCGGGACCACAATGCCCAAGCCCGCACAATGACCCAGTCCGAGATAGCCCAAGACAGCCTTGCCCGTCGCGCTCGCAACAATGCCAGCCATGCCCACTAGCCAGGGTCCAATCCACGTGAGATCGCCACGTTCGCTCGCAGCCGGCCGACGACGCCACTCTCGTCTTCGACTTTGCCGCCCGCAGCCACAGGGCGTGGGCTCGCTGCGTGTCGTTTTGCTGCCCATTACTGCGATCCCCTCCTTCGCCATCTGAACTCGGCACCATGTCGCGGCTCTCGGTGCTCTCGGCGCTGAGATCACGGCCTCGGCTCGCAGCGCTGGCGGCTAAGCTCTACGCGGTTGCTGTTGACATTGATCGCTGGAGCTACAGCAGTGGGCTGAGACACAGATACACCTTTGACGGGCGCAAGGTCATTGCTGTCGGCAATGTCGAGTGGGGAGGGACCGGCAAGACGCCGATGGCTGCCTGGCTCGCATTGCGATACGCGTCAGCCGCGACTCCGCTCGCCATCGTCTCCGCCGCTCGCGACGAGGCCGCTATGCTCGCCACCGAGTGCCAGACGCAGCACGCCACCGTCGTCGCTGTCCCGCCAGGTGCCCGCAAGGCTGCCTACGCTGCTGCGGTGGTGCCAAGCGCCGTGTCGACGCTTGTCTTTGACGACGCCTGTCAGCACTGGCCGCTCGTCCCACACGTCGCCATTGGCATGGTCAACCCGCTCTCGCCGCATGGCATGCCCCATCCTCGCTGCGCAGCCCGTTCGCTTGCACCGCTCGGTACCCATCGCGAGCGAGCTGCGCGCTGGCTCGCCTCGCTCGACCTGGTCATCATCCACCACGCCCAGATCGCCGCGAGCGAGCAACGCCTCCCGGCCGCCATCTCCAACCTGGAAGCATATAGCGTCGCTCCAGACAAGCGCGTCTTCTCGCGCATGTCCGATCCCGTCTTCCGCCATCACACCGAGGCTGTCAAGGCACCATCGTCGCCACTTCTCACCTCGCCACTGCTACTCTCGGGCCTTGGCTCGCCACAGGCATTTGAAGCGACGATTGCTGCGTCGCTGCCCACGACATCGCACCTCGTCCACGCCATTTACGACGACCATCACGCGTGGACCGCTGCCGAAGCAAACGCGCTTGTTACAGACGCCGCCCACGCCGGGCATTCGGCTCTGCTGCTCTCGGCAAAAGACTGGGCGCGATCAGGAGGAGTACTTACAGCCGCGGCGGAGTCTGTCGGCCTCCCGCTAGTCACCGCGTCTGCCGTCCTCCAAATCTCGTCTTCAGCCACAGACTGGAGCGCCGCAGCGCAGGCGCAAGGTGCGGCGATAGTCGATAGTGTGACTGGCCTCTTGCCTGACGGCCGAAGCAGTTGATGGATTTGACGGGTCGGAATCCGGAACGCTCGTTTTTCCGTTGGCCAAGCCACCAGCCCCTCGACCCGACACACTCTTCGCCCATGCTTGCGCCGCGGTCGGCGACGAGCACGGCAGGCCCGCTTGACGAGCCTGTCTATGCCTTGGTCGAGGACGCGTTTACCTACCAGGATGGCTTGCCTGTCGCTTCTGCCATTAGCGAGATGGAGCCGTCGCCAACGTCGTCGCTGGGCGTGGTCGACCCGGCGGCATCGAGCCTTGCCACTCCGCGACTGGTCCGCCCGACCGAAATGACGTACGTTCGCATCCCGCACGCCAAGTCAGTGCTCGTCGGGCCAGTTGAGTCTGCCTTTGTTCGTGTCGCCCGAACCGACGCCGCCGTCCGCGCCTCATTCGCCCGGCAAGGCCGGCACTTGGCCTCGCCGCCTCTGCCCCCAAGCCACTCGCCAACCGTCACGCTCTCACGACACAAGACAACGGCGGCACCACCACGGCACCAGGCTCTCCAGCCTCCCGCCGCATCGGTGTACATCTTTCCCGACTCGCCGCAAGTCACGCTCTATTTGCGGCGGTCCGGATCGGCAATGTTCGAGCAGGTGGTGCCGAGCCAGCCGCTCGGCCTCAGCCTTGGCGACGAGTTCACCGCCAGTCTCGGCACCCGCACAGTGTTCAAAGTTGTGGCCCATCGGCTTGCGCCGCGACCGCAGTTCGCACTCCAGAGCCGTGGCCGCGGTACACGTGCGCTCAAGTGGTCGTCGTCAACACTCTCGAGGTACGAGGCTAGCACTGCCGCCGTCAGCGATGCGAAGTGGGTAACCGAAGCCACCGGCGCATCGCCGCTCATCCTCGAGTCGGACGACATCCTCGCTTCGTCGTCAGATGAAGACGCGCCGTCGCGCAACGATGCAACGACTGGGTCGCCGCCGATAGCCGTCTCTCTCAAGAGACCACGGTCGCCGCAGCCGCCGGTCGCGCGAAGGGTCCGTCGTCGGACGCGGCGCATCGTGCTGCCGCGGCCTACGCTTGTCCCGCGCGGCAGAGATCCTCCACCGTCGGCATCGTCCGGCAGCTCGTCATCGCAGGGCTCCCCAGCAGTGGTGTAGGTATGGAGGCGGGAGTGGGGTCGGTCTTTACCGAGATGCACTCGCAAAGGAAAGGGGAGCCAGGGACTCAGATAAAGTCAAGCTTGGAGTCCGGGGCGTTGGCCTTCTTCTTGCGCCAGAAGACGACACCAGCGGCGATGCCGGCAATAGCAATGACAATGACGACAGCAAGGATGACCCAGGTAGCCGGGTGGATCTTCTCGCCCTCGTCGACGGGCTGAAGGGCGAGGGTCCTCGGCCAGCAGTTGACGTCGCAGATGCCAATGACGCCAGCCGCGATCTTAACGCCTGCGTCGCCCGAGGCACCCGTGCCCTTGTCCGAGCCCGAGTGGAAGACGAGGGCGCGGCCGATGATCGAGTCGACACCGGACATCTGGACGCCGGGCACAACCATGTTAACGTAGCCGGTACCGTCCTTGTAAATGGCAAAGTTGCCGAGGTCGCCGTAGTGGCGGACGTTGGGCGGGAGGCCGTGCGCCACCGAGTACGGGTTGTAGTGCCCGCCGAGGTTGGCACCGGTGGCCGACGAAAGGTCACCGTTCTGGTGGACGTGGATGCCGTGGACCGACGAGGCCTGAAGACCCTTGACGATGCCGTAGATGCGGAGGTCCTTGTCCCCGTTGATCTGCTCAAAGTACATGGTCGCCTCAAAGCGCGAGTTCTTCGGCTCCTCGATCGACTGCATGACGGCAACCGCGCGGAAGGCCGGCGGCGGCGCCTCTTCGCCGGCATAGCCCGAGTTGATCTCGAGCGACGAGACAGCAGAGAGGCCGATGACGCCCACGGCGAGCCGCGAGCCGGCGTTGCCCGAAGGCGGGTTGCAGTCGTCGCGGTCAGCGTGGATGACGATGGCGCGGCCGACAACAGACCGCGGGCCGGTCAAGTCGATGAGGTCGCGGGTAAAGTCGGCCGGGAAAGTGTACGTGCCGTCTGAGGCCGCGGTGATGGTCCCGATGTCGCCGGCGTGGCGGGCGTTCGGCGAGCAGCCGTGCGAGACGCCGTCCGGGTTGTAGTGACCCATGGCGCCGGTGCCGTCCGCCACCGTCGGGTTGCCGTACGTGTGGATGTGGAATGCGTGGTCGCCCGCCGGGAGGCCGGAGACCGAACCGGAGATGGTCACCGGAGTGCCCGGGCCGTGAAGCTGCTCGAGGGTGACGAGGCCGGAGACGCCGGGCGCGTTTGACGTACCCTTGATGACGACCGTTACCTTGGCCGGCGCGCCGTTGGAGATGCCGATGGGGCCGGCGGCAATCTTGGTGCCAGCGGCGCCGGTCGGCTGCTCCCCGGTGTCCCGCCCGTCGTGCATGACTGCCGCGCGACCGATGATGTTGTCCAGGCCGGCGCCCATGTCGAGGAGGTCAAAGTCGCGCTGCGACGAGTAGACCGGTGACGTGCCGTTGGTCGAGACCACGTTGCCCATGTCGCCCATGTGGCGCACACCCATCGGGAGTGCATGATTCACGCCGGCCGGGTTGTAGTGTCCACCGGTTCCCGTGGCCTTGCCGTAGGTGTGGACGTGGAGCGCCCGCTGCTCGGCCTCGCCAAACGAGCCGGAGAGCCGCGGGTAGACGCGGACCTTGCCCGATGGCAGGTGCTGGAACCAGACCTTGCCGGCAACGTTGCGCCCGGCCCCGAGATCGTCGATGACAGCCACAGCCCAGGTTGTGTTGGTCCCGGTCGGGTTGCGGTAGTGCGCAAGCTGGGTGTCTGTGCCCGGGTCGACAACGCCGATAACGCACTGAGCAAGACGCGCGCCAGCATCGCCGGCCGTGCCGGTGCACGAGTCGGTGTTGGCATGGATGACCAGCGACCGCCCGATGACAGAGTTCACACCCGAGAGCTCGAGCAGGTCGCGCTCAAAGCTGCCCGGGAACGTGTACGTCCCGCCCGAGACCGAGATGTCACCGACGTCGCCGGCATGCCGGTCGGTCGACGGGTAGCATCCATGCGTCTTGTTGTGTGGGTTCCAGTGGCCACCGGCACCCTTGCCGCTCGTCACCGTCACGTCGCCGTAGGTGTGCACGTGGAGCGCGTGCAGGCCATCCGGCAAGTTGTTCACCGTTCCAGTAAAGGTCACCACGCCACCGACGCCTGCCTGCGACAGCTCAATCGTCCCGCTCACATCGTTGTCGCCCGCAGGCTTCAGCTCGCACGTAGCCTTGAGCACATCAGCACCTGCAGACAAAACAAAGACCAATGTGTGAGTTGCGGGCGCTACCGAATCTCCTGCCAACCCAGCACAAGCAGCCAGCGCAGCCTTTAACCACACGAGCGATGGCCGTATGACAGACCATACAGCCATACTGACGACAGGAGGATGAAACTCAACCACGCCCGAGCCATGCGCTGGGCACATGCAAGAAGCGTGGAGCGATGGAGGAGGAGGGAGCGGAGGGGAGGTGAAAGGACGCAAAATAAAAAAAATGCCCTCGCCCACAGTCCACGTTGCGGCGCTTTTTCGCCATCACCCGTCAAGGCCAAAACTGGGTGGGAGAGGGGGGGCGCAAGGTGACGGCATGCATGGGCTGAGGAGGTCGCTTGGTAGTAGGAGCAGGAAGTAGAACGTACCGCTTACGGCCGCAACAAGGGCAAGTACCACCACAGCATTCAGGAGCTTCATAGCTTCAAAGGTGTGGAAGAAAAGTATGCCAAGCTACGTCCTGCTCGGTCGACGTCTTGTCGCGGTGTGTCCGGCCAGAGAACGCTGCAAGGGTCTCGGCTGGCAATTCACGAGGAATGCGGAAAAATTGCTGATGATGCCGCAGCCCCCCCCCTCAAAACAAACTCTTGCTAGCCAAGACCGCCACTTGTCCCGCCTGCTTCCCACATAAAGCAAGCCAAAGATGCATCAACTGCCTGGCAAGGGCTGAAGCGTGGCTGTGCGAGCTGTACGTGCCTGCTGTAGTGAAGTTCCGGTTCCGGCTGACCGCCCACACCCGCCGCATCTTGCCGCCCCTACCCAACCACCACTGTCAACCAGCGACCATGATCATGACGACGACGCGGGCAGATGTTGATTACCATAATCACCGTGCCACAAAGCCATGATATGACATGTGTGTGACTCTCTCGAAACGACTCGCCTCCCGCCTCAACAAACGTATCCCACGTGCGTTTCCACGTGGCAAAGTCACGCGAGCAACCACACATAGCGGGATCCCCACGCGAGGCGAAGCGAGAGAGCGGACGGAGGCGAGCACACCTCACGCCAGCGTCAACCACGCCGTCACGCGAGTCGAGTATCAGTGGTTGAGCTTGGGCAGTGTGCATAGAGCTGTGCAGGCCGACTGTCGAAACGAGGTGACGGTATTCCCCACGAGTATACACGTCGCAGGTGTGAGTGTAGTTTGCTTGCCGGAAACGTAGCGAGATAATTGCTCACGCTCGATAGTTTGAACGGTGGTCAAGAGCGGCAAACGCAGTCATCGACGTATCAAGGCGCCGCAAGCTCTCCATCGCAACCATGCACGCCACAGCTACGCGTGCGGCTGTGACACCAGTCCCGTGGCGGGAGACAAGGTTCTGGATCTACACATTTGTGCTGCTGTCGTACATGGCGACGCTGATGCTGCAGATTGTGGCGACGGCGCAAATGCTGATTGCAGAGGTCTGTGAGCGCGGCCACTACGCCGACTGCGACTCGGACACGGTCTCGTCCAAGGCCGCGGTATGGACGCTGTACGGCGGCCTGGCTTCGTCGCTGACCGGCGTCGGCGTCTCGGGCACCGTGGGTGTGCTCTCGGACAAGTTTGGCCGACGCTGGGTCGTTGTCCTTCCTCTCGTCGGGCTGACGGCCAACACACTGACGCTGGCCTTGTTCAAGGCCTACTCCTGGCCGCTGTGGACCCTGGTCGCCATCTCGGGCGGGACCGGCCTGTTTGGCGGATCGCCCACCATGTTCATGGCCATCTACACCGCCGTCGCCGACATTGTGCCCGAGGTCGAGCGTTCTAAGAAGTTTGGCTACACCGAAGTCTCCCTCTACCTTGGCGTCATGGCCGGAACCTCCGTCTCGGGCATCCTCATCGAGCACTTTGACTACAAGACACTATTTGTGGCCATGACCGTGGCGGGAGCAGCGCTCACTCTCATCGCCGCCGCCATGCCCGAGACGCTCGCGCCATCGCAGAGGGTCGAGACCGTCTCGTGGGCCAAGGCCAATGTCTTTGGCGCGCTCGGTGTCATGACTCGACCGACACGGCTCGGTCCGTGGCCGGTTCTGGCAGGCCTTGGCCTCGCTTTCCTCCTCTCGTACGGCGCCATTGTTGCCTTTGGTTCGATCGTCATCCTCTACTCCAAAGTCAAGCTCCACTGGACACCGCGCGAGCTCGGCTTCTTCCTCGGCTCGCAGTGGATCATTCGCGCTGCCTGCGTCTCCATCCTCTCGCCGCTCCTGCTCCACACTCAGAACGTGCGGCGAATCACCCTGTTCTCCGTCATCGGCCTCTGCATGCAGGCCGGGTCGATGTTGACCTACGCACTCGCGCCCGACACCGGCATTATGTATGTCGGCTCAGCCATCGGTGGCCTCTCTGCTGTTGCCTTTCCGGCCATCCGCTCCCTCTTCTCGCTGGCAGTCTCTGCCAAAGAGCAGGGCGTCGCGCTTGCCGCGCTCTCCGCCGCCGAAACCGTCGCCAATATCCTCCTCCCTGCCTTTGCCTCTGGCTTTTACTCGGCCACCGACTCGTCGTGCCTGCCCTGCACCCTCTACGTCCTCGTAGGGCTCCTGCTTGCCGGCGCAGGCTGTGCCGCCGTCGCGCTGCGCTTCCTCTCGCCGGTTCTCGAGCTCACTCTCGACACACCCGACGACATGGACAACGTCTCTTCGGCGCAGGTCGAGTCGCGCCCGCTCTTGGCTCCAGTTGCAGTGCCAGAGCCGCTCGCGCCATGACCTCACGACGCGCGCGTCATGGCCGCAAGTGACCTGTGCGCGGCCTCATGCCACGATCGGTTGAGCGGCGACGGCGAGACCGACGGGTCCGGCGAGCCGCCACGCGCAATGGTCTTTGCTGCTGCTGAGAGCGAGAAGACCGACCGCACCCGAGTCGGCGATCCGCCACCTCGCATAGTCGGCGACGAGACCGTCGACCTTCGCAGCGTTGGGGCCAGCAGCCGCCGCGTCGCAGACGCTGGCGACGTTGACTCGTCAAGCCACCGCCGCCGCTCGTAGTCGCCGACCGACTCGGTCTCAGCATCACTGCTAGCGACCTGGTCTGGTCCGTACGCCTTGGACAACGCATGCAGGTCCGAGGCTAGCGCCGCCACCGCCGCAAGCTTGGCTCCGCGCGACGGCGACGCCACTGCAGCGCGGACCCGAGATCGCGACGCGTCGCGCAGACTCTTGGCTCGCCGTGACACACTGTCGTCGCGCTGGATCTGGGCCAGCGGCGACGCGCTGCCGTGGACCCTGCTCGACACCTGGTAGGCCTTGGTCGGCGAGAGCTGTGCTACCACTCGTGGGCCCAGTCCGCGCAGCCGCGAGTGGCTCTTGCTCAGCGTCACGCTCTCCAGATCGCGCATAGCTAGCGACCGCGCCACCACGCTTGCCGGCGCGTCGACATCCAGCGCCCGGAGCCGCGCAGACCGGTTGACCGAGAGCGAGGCTGTCGTAAACGGTGACTCGTGGACATGCCGCGGTCCGTGCGACGACAGTACCATTTGCGCCAGCTTGGATCCAGCACCGCGCGCCTTGCTCGCAGCGGCATGACTTGTCAGCTTGGCTGTGTCTGCCAGCTTGACATGCCCGGCATCGTGGCTGTACACTAGCCGCGTCCGCGTCTCCAGAAGCGCTTTGAGATTGAGCACCGGTGCCGCTACTCTCGGGCCCACCAGATCGCCGACTGCCAGCTCGGGCTCGTCTGGTGGGGCTGGTGCGCCAGTGGCCTCCTCATCCACCGTAGCCGGCTTGACGTCATGCACAGGTCTCGCCGGCTCTGCCGCCTGAGACACCTGCGGCATCGGCAGCTTGAGAATCTCAGCGACACAAGCGCGGATGGCATCAAACGTGTCGATCGGAAGCGCCGTCACGTCAACCGGCACAAGCGCAGCGTACTCTGGGCCGAGCTCGGGCGCATGCGAAAGCATCGAGAGCTCGCCGTTGGAGCCGTGGAAGAGCTTGATGAGGTTGTCGCTCTCCAGCATGCTCGCCCACTTCCACAACTTGTTGACTTTGAGCGTGTGCCGCCACTTGGGTGCCACACGCGCAAGCACCTGCCCAACATTGGAGAGCCGGATGCCTTCCGATGGCCCGCCGTTGTCAGCCGAGAGCTCGCCGGAGGCAATGAGATGGTTCTCAAACTCGCGGACAATGACAACAAACGTGTTGTATGTCTGCACATCGTGGACACTTCCGTCCGCCGTCCGCGCCCGCTCCTGCCAGCCGTCGTCATCTCGAGCTCGCTTCTTGATCGCCAGCGGAGCTGGCGTGGGTGTCGCTACTGTCACCGGTGACACGACCCTGGTTTGGCTCGGGCTTGCTGCTGTGGGGCTCGGCCTAGAGACCGTCGGCGCAACTTCGGCCACCGGCGATGCTGCCCGCTCCGGCTCTGGGGTGCGGGCGCTGATGCTGCGGGCGGCTGGCGATGAGACTGACATGTTGGGAATGGAGGACGCTGTTGAAGGCGGGGCGGTCTGCTCGTGAGCCTGCCACCACGGCACTTTGCCAAGCGAGACATAAACGTAGTCCCAGTTGAGCGATCCCAGCTCGTCGAGCGAAACAGGCGGCGACGGCTCAGAACTTGAGAGAGATCCGCCGCTCTCAAGCGAATCCTCATCCGACCACGATGCGGTCGCGTGCCACTCGTCGCGGAGCCAGCCTGAATCGTGCAGAGCGTCGGCAGCAGTGTCAACGTGGCCATGGAGCGACGATGCCCACGATTGGATCTCCCACGCGACGTCGTCTTCCTCAGGCTGCGCCGGCTCGCTGTCGCGGCAATCGGGCGAGCGCCAGAGCGAGATAAGCCCGCTGCGGACGGCGCATGTCACGTACTGTGCCATGAGAGCATGCGTGGAGACCGAGCGGTGGAGGAGCGGGTAAAAGACGCAAAAGTGGCGGACAACATCGGCAAGCGTGGGATGAAGAGTCCGATCGGCCCCATGGGCCCGCCGGAGTGCCAGGACTACTCGGACAAGTCGCGATGGCGGCAGGTCCTCGGGCGCCTCGACCGGGATCTCGAGCTCCGGCGCCACGAGAATGGTAGACGGCGCGTCACCTGGCCCTGTGCCACGACGACCGCGGCTGCTGCTGCTCTGGCCGTCCCGCACGCCGTGGCCATGACTGGCATCGTGACAAAAGGCACAGCTCGATCCGTAAACACACGTCCCATCACCGCTGCCAAAAAGTTGCGGCAGCCACGGTTACACTCGGGTGGAGCTCCGGCGCCGTGGATCCGCTCCCAGTCGATGACATGATCGACCTGGCGATCCAGGAGCGTGGTGCGGACGGCTGTCGAGCGAACGCACACCGTGCACACGCCCAGCTGCGAGAGCTTGGCCAAGCCATAGACAAAGTCCGAGTCTGAAGAGAGCAGCACAACCGTGATCTGCGGCTCGCCGGCCGATCGTGCACTCGCTGCCTGGCAGGCCATCATCATCATGTCGACGAGTAAGACCTTGTCCGCCGTCTCCTTCTTGCGAGAAAAGGGCACGTCAACCAAATGCACGCCATTTGCCACCATACTGTTCCTTGTCCGCTTCACCAACGCCGTCGTATCGCAGTATGCCTTGATGGAAGCCAGAGGACCAAATCCCGAGAGTGCCACCGTTAGCCGCTGTACCGTGGCATGAATGGCTCCTGTCCGAGGCGAGAGGTTCTCCAAGTCCCAGAACACATACACAGACATGATCCACAAACTCTGTCCCAAGAACAAGTTAGATGTGAATGCGAATGTGTGTGTGTGTGGGTGGGTGGGTGGATAGCGGGGGTGGGAGGTGGCGTCGAGTGTCGTAGAGTGGGTGCCCTTGTCGAGTCCGTTGAGTCGAGTCGTTTGAGGGGAGATCCGTTAGCGGACGGTGCGGCGGCAGTGGCTGCGCTGGCTGCGGCAGCGACAGACGCATGCAATCACATGTAGGCGCCAGATTCATCATAATGGACGGCTACACATCCAAGTCGGGGATCGGAAGCATGGATCCATGTCAAACTCGGCAGGCCCTGAGGGGTGCGCCGTGTGATGGGCGGCGCCGTAGTGATGGTCAGTTGGGAGAAGGGAGGGGGTATGCCGCACCACTCAACTCGCTACACCCCGCAGGCACGGCAAGCCAGTCCAAAGACAGAGGCTCATCGGCCGACATGGACAACAACGAAGATAGCTATGTGCCTGGGGTGTATCGCATCGGACAGCTGTGCGGTGGCGGGAGCGAATGGACCGAGCGGAGGGCAGAGCGAAGGGCCGACAGCTCGCCCGCCACCATACTCACACTGGCTCATGCCATGGGACGAGAGCGATATGTGACTGATCGATTGGAAGCACTTTGTGCTGCGCAGAGCCTTGTGAGCTCTCCGTTTGTGGGCATGCCTCGCGTACTGGACTATCACAGCACAGATCGCGCTCTATATGTTGTTGTCGAGCCGCTGGATACCCACATGGCTCTGGTTGATGTCATCCGCGGACGGGATCCGGCAGGCGTGGCTGTCGATGAAATGGCGGCTGGCGTGATGCGGCAAGTGCTGAGTGCGCTGATGCACTTGCACGAGTTGGGGGCTGTGGTTGGCGGCCTCATGCTCGACGACCTGCGTGTACCGCCGCTGGGGCGGCGTGGCGATCTCGCGGTGCCCACTGTGGTCCTTGTCGGTGCCCTGCTCCCGCTCGTTCGAACACAGCCCGCTAACATCGAGGCCTGGACTGGGTACCCGCTCACTGTTGCGCCCGAGGTCCTCCGCGGCGACGAGGTCGGCCCAGCGGCGGATGTCTGGTCGGTCGGCGTCCTCGTCTACCTGCTCATCACCGGCTCGTATCCGTTTGCCATCTCCAACTACGAGGACCTGTACGAGTCTATTCTCAACGCCGACTACGAGCCGCTGCCGAGGCAGGAAGCCAAAGAGACCGACCTCTCCATGCGCGATCATGCAATCCAGTTTGTGGAGCAGACGCTGGTCGCCGACCCGGCCAGTCGCCTCTCGCCGCGCGACGCGCTCAGCCACCCATTCCTCACCCACGCGCCGCCACCAAGCACCCGCGTCGAGCTAGAGGATGTGCCGCGGGCGGCCCACAGTGAGCAGGCGCGCCCCGCGCTCCGCGCCACCCGCGCTGCGCAGCTTGTCCTCCGCGCCTCGCTCGAGGTGGCGCGGACTGAGGAGCTGGTCGAGGCCACTCGCGATGCGGTCCTGCTCGGGGAGACGAGCCTGCCACCGGGATCCAGCGATAGCAAGCTTCTTGCCGAGCTCATGCAGGAGTGGTACGCCGAGCACGGAGCAAGCCGTGGCCACCGCCGCTTCTCTGCCGCCGACCCGCGCCCATTGCCGTAGTTGCTTTACCACTCGAGATGCTCGACCTTAAGCTTGATGTTGCCGCCGGTGACGCACTCGCCGGTATTGGCGTCAAAGGTCCACCCGTGGCGCGGGCACTTGATGAGGCCGTTGCAGACGACGGCGGTGGTGAGGTCCTCGCCGGCGTGCGGGCAGTAGCGCTGGAACTTGACGTTGGGCAGCGCTGGATGCGTGATCATCTCAGAGACCTTGCGCTCCTCCACGAGTGCCTCGGTTTGGATCGGCCGGTTGCCGTAGCGGAGGTACGACATAAAGTAGAGGTCAAAGACGTCCGGGTCGCGGGCAAGACGAATGCGGTTCGACAGCAGCGCCTCCTCCCACCCGAGCGGGATCGAGCCCGGAAGCGGCGCCACAATGGCGCGAAGGAGCCACTCGGGCACCCAGAGCGAATACTCGACAGGACGATCGTTGTCGGACGCCTGCCACTCCGCCTGGGTCACGACGGTGGGCTTGATGCCTGCGTTCCAGGCCACGACGTAGGCCGTCGGCTCACCGCGCGCCGGCTCGGCAATCAACCGCCACACCTTGCGGAACGATGAAAGGGTGACGAGGTGCTTGTTGGTCTTGTGCAGGCCGGCAAAGTAGGCCTGCAGCATGTCCAGGTCGACGCTGACGTCGGCCGCCGGATCGACGGCGATGCCGCCGGGCTGTGCGATCTCGAGCGCGCGCGCCTCGCGGTACTCGGCCATGCTCCACTCGTCGCGGGTGCCGTCAAAGGCGAGGCGGGCGTCGGGAAAGGCGAGGCCGTCGCCGGGCGTGAGGTGGTGGACGACAACATCAGGCATGGCCTCGGCAAACTCGTGAGCAATGGCCGACCACGGGAAAAGATTGTCGTCTCGCCGTTGTTGTAGCTCTCGAGCGCTGGGTCGAGGAAGACCGGCGGTCCCGCCGCCGGGAGCAAGACCTTGGCCTGGGTCGCCTCGGCCTTCATCACCAGAAGATCGTAGAGCATGGTCCGGATCTGCTGCGTCTTCTCGGCCTCGACCTCGGGCGAGTACGCGTAGCAGTTGGGGTACCACATTGCGCCCGAAAACTGGACCGAGAGCACGTCGACGTTCGTCGGGAGCTCCGAGAGCCGGGTGTTGCAGTCGTTGAGGTGCAAAAAGGTCGCCGGTGTGCCGTCGCCGCAGAGCGCCTGCAGGAAAATCGCCGAGTCCTCCTTGTGTGAGACGTCCAGGTAGACCGTCGCCGTCAGCCGCGGCGCCAGCTCGGCCGACTCGCCGTGGCCAAGCTTGATGAACGAGCTGAAGCCGAGCTCGCGAAGCTCCTCCTCAAGGCCGCCGGACCGGTACGCCGGGAGTACAATGGTGATGCTCTTGTCGAGCTTGGGCAGGACCGTCCGATCAAAGTGATCCTCGTGGAGATGCGAGATGAACAGAAAGTCAAAGTCAGACTCGATCACCGTGTCGAGGAGGAATCGGTTGTTTGGCGAGGGGAACCAAGAGGTGAACGCCTGGAAGAACCTGCGCAACAGCATAGCATGTAACAGCATGTAACCGTGTGAGCTGCTGCAAATCGCCCGCCGCATCTTACCTCCCTTCCTCATGATGCTACCCCCCTTCCTCATGATACTAAAGCTCACCGTTCCCGGGTCAAACCCCCCC